CGCCAAGTGTACACAATGTACATAATCTACAGTCTACAAAGTGACTTAAGTAATACGTCTCTCCATAGAAGCGACGCGACGTCATGCTATTCATAGGGTAATATCTATCAATACATACATATATCTTAATGTATACCAAGCAAGTTTCTCTCTACCTCAACCCCCACCTACGCCTCCAGGTCACGCTCCTGTTGTGACATCCTAGGATGGAACATATATGGGTTGTGACAATATCATCTGTACCTGATAAACTTGTTCTTTTAGGTAATTTTAACGCCCGGGTTGACATAGTCAGATCTATGGAAAGGCGTGATCGGCAAGAAAGGCGTCGGGAAATTGACCTCGAACGGACTTCGACTACTAACCACATGCTCAGAATATGACCTTGTCATTATGAATACACTTTTTCGACAGAAGAAATAAATTCAAGATTTCCTGGCAACATCTTAGGTCAAAGCACTGGCATCTTATCGATTATATATTTGTACATTTGCACATCCCACCAAAGCGTAGATGTCAAAAAAAGCAGTTCAAACGAAAATTCATCATAGAACGCCTTCAAGACGATCATATCAGGACGGACAAACTTCCAAGCCTCTCTAAGCCAGAAACTTCCGTTAGAGTACCCGGGAAGTATTGAGGAGCACTGGAAAATTCTGAAGACCGCAATAACATCTGCCTCGGAAGAAACGGTCGGCTACATACAAAAGAAACATCAAGACTGCTTTGATGAGAACGACATTTAAATTCAAGAGCTTGTAGAAAGAAAAAGAAGAGCGCATAATGCATTGAAAAGCTCCCTCAAGTCAACTGTGAAAAAAAGGAAATACCAACAAGCAAAAGCAGAAGTTCAAAGGCAAAGGCGAGCACTAAAGTACCAATGGAGGATAACAAAATTAAATGAAATGCAGCACCAGGGCCTTCTTTCAGGCTACTAAGATGGTATACGGACCAACCACTCAAGGACTCAATCCCTTACGATCCGAAAATGGCACAAGACTGCTTAAAGACAGTTCTTCCATCAATTCTCACTAAAAAGAACACTTTCAGGAACTACTTAACATAGAATCAGAAATTAATAATGATATCTTCTTCGAAATCCCATAGAAACAAGAATTGAGCGAAATCCCCAGATTAGAAGAGGTTGAAGAGACAATCAGACAACTGCAGGACAATAATTCAGCTGGTAGAGACGGCATCCCTGTTGAATTCTTAAAACAAGGGGGCCCCATATTAAGTTCCCAAACCCACATCCTAATAAGTAAACTATGGGATGAGATGCCTCCAGAGTAATAATTTTCAAAAAGGAAGACAAATGTCAATGTGGAGACTACAGAGGAATGTCTTAACTTTCTATTGCGGGAAAGTTACTTGACAGGATATTATCAAATTGTTCAATCCCAACTGCCCAAGAACCTCCCAGAGACACAGTGCGGATTCAGACCCAATAAAAATACAGCTGACATGATTTTTAGTGCAAAACTAATGTAAGAGAAATCCAGGGAACAAAATCGCCCTCTATACATGGCCTACATAGATTTAGTGGAAGCATTTGATTCGGTCAACAGAGAAGTTCTTTGGAAGATATTGGGAAAGGTTGGGTGACCGCAAAAGTACATCCAGATACTCCGCCTGCTCTTTTAAAATAACTACAGGCGTTAAACAAGACTGTGTTATTGCACCCACTTTATTTTCTCTATTTATAGATCCATATTTCACCTTGTCGAGGGTCGCCTGCCGTCAGGAGTGGAAATTCTATACAGACTTGATGGCGGCTTATTCAACCTAAACAAATTACAAGCCAAGACGAAAGTATCGATGACGTCGATAATTGAACTTCAATATACGAATGATAACGTCGTGATGGCCAATACAGATCTTCAGGCAATTATCAATGCATCCAACCAGGCTACAGGAGAATCGGCCTAGAGGTCAACTTCAACAAGACACAGATTCTACTCCAATCCGCACCGGATACTAATCCCCCAACCCCAAATATAACTATAAGTGATCAATCTTTGCAGAAGTTAGAATACTATACCCATGCCTAGATAGCCCTGTGTCGTCGCTTGATGTGTGCTAACGCCACGTTCGGACGACTTCTAGAGCGAGTTTTCAACAATCACGACATCAGCGCTAAGACGAAACTTCGCGTCTACAATGTAGCTGCAAAACATGGACCACCTACAGGACACATAAAAAGCCTAGAAAAATACCACCAGCGATGCCTAAGAAGGATTCTACGGATTAAATGGCAAGTCGGACGAACGAACATTAGAGTTTTGAAGGAGGCCAAAACAACTAACATGGAAGGTGTTCTAAAGGAAAATATGGCAAAGTGCCGCATCGATACCAGCAACTGGGAGGCAACGGCAAATGATAGGACCTCATGGCGTCGAGTAATCCACCACAGACCACAAAATTTTCAAGAACAGCGATGCAGATACGAGACCAAAAAGAGGGTGCGCAGGAAGGAGCGAGAGCACAGAGAAAGAGACAATGCTGCCAGAGACTGGGTTGGCCAAGACTGTGGAAGAATGTGCAGCTCCAGAATTGGTTTATATAGCCATCAGAAAACGCACAAGCTATGAAGAATAGAATAGAAGATAATCATACTAGATTTCAAGTGATTCCCTATGATGATGATGAATGTCATCCCCAGCCAAAAAGTTTTTAGCATTTGGAAAAATATTTACGGTTTCACGGAAAGCATGCAGAGCTCCAAAAAGTATAGGAGAACTATGAACTCCATAAATTGGGCAAGAGTGACAGCGGCGAACGAAAATCTGATTCCACTTATTCGATTAGAGTCTATAATCGTACCTACAGAGGAAACTACGAAGAATCCTACGGATTGAATAGCAAGAACAAGTGTTTTCGAGGAAGCCAAAACTAGCATGGAAGTCCTCATTATTAAGCACAATCGCGTCGAGTAGTCAACGACGGACCACAAACTTTTGAAGAACGGCGTCGCAGACACGAGACGGAAAAAGGAACCGCAGCAAGCAGCGAGAGAACAGAGGAAGAGAAAATGCTGCCAGAGACTGGGTGTGCCAAGACTGTGGAAGTGTGTGCAGTTTCAGAAAACGCACAATCGACGACAATAAGAATAGAATAGACAATCGACTATGATAATGATGATAATCATAGCAGTCTCATAGTGAAAAAAAAGTCGGGGATTATTTGATAATTAGGTTTACTAGGTTTACGAAAGCTAAAAATGTGAATTTTATGCAGGATATTAAAACCACCCAATATATTAAGGCTCGAGATTTTGTTGTACGTATTAGATTTCTTATTTATTTTCTTTTGCCTTTGATGAAATAAGAAATATTAATTTCAGCACTGGCGTCGACAGACGATTTATCTTTTGTGAGCAAATTAATTTTCCCAGAAGCAGTTTAGGAATATCCATCACTTTTTCTGTTACGACAATTAGATATTTGTAATATTTCTACATTGAGGTAGTATTTTTATAAGGCCAATGGCAAATAACTTATTTTTGTTGACGTTGATAAATTATGACGCAAAAATTGATGTCCCAAAAAATTCTGCAGTGTTTTATATCATGATATTTAAAAAAAGATTATCTGATTTGAAGTTTCAATTAAGCTCACTTTGTTTGAAAAAAAATCGTTTACTATGTCTGAATCGAAAATCGCCAACAAGCTACTGACTAAATTCAACTTTTCAATATACATAATATACTCCATTTACATTTCCTAAATAGCTCTTAAATAGGTCAACTAAATCGTTTGTCTTCTGGTCCATAGTTGGGCAAAAAAACAATTTCACAGGACGATCCATCTCAGGCTTTATAAAGGTCACTCCATAGTGCAGCTATACTGATAACGCCATCCATTTTAAGGATTTAGCGATTGGGATGTCCGGCGGTAATTTACTTATTCATTTGCTTTTAGCAACTGCCTTTTGCGAATCATCCATGCTTGTGAGATTATAAGCTCTAATCATGACAAGTGATGCTTTGGAATAATTAGTATAGTATAGGTATCTGTAAGGGTGTTTCACGAACATCGAAACAGAGGGGCTTAAGAATATACTAGGGTCGATTTAAAAAAAAACGCTCGGACACCTGAATTTTGTATTCAAGAGGGAAACTTTTTGTCAAAGTTGTCATGGGCTAATAAGAGTCCGAGAGGAAAGTGTTGATTTTTGAATAACAAAGCTAGAAAATTATTTCTTATTTAGCCCATGGCAACTTTGACAGTGAATATCTTGAGAACTAAATTCGATTTTCAAAAAAAAAATACTTACTTGTGACGAGAATCAGAATACCTTTAAAACAGCCCACATAAAAGTGAAAAAACATTCATGTTCTCAAAATATTTTCTCAAAGTGCTTTTTGGAATGTTCTTTTAGGAATGTTCAATAAACATGCTAAGATTGTTTCCATAAAAATTTTAATTTTTGGACGTTCTATTTATGTATTAGGAATGTTGCTTCTATGTACCTACCTGAAAGATTCTGCTGAAAACCTACATTATATAATATTTTTCTACCTAATATACAGGTTGTTTGGTACATATCGATAGGAAGTTTTCAATGAGTGATAGTTGGGGTCATTTGGGAGCTGTTTGACTACAATTACCCCTAGGCAAAGTTTCGTAATTTTTGAGATATCAGCATTTTTAGATATTTATATCATTTGAAAAGTGAAAACTTACAAAGCTTACAAAAATATGAAGACCAAATCGCATAATAAAGCTTTACTGCAAAATTAAGAGAATTTAATGATGAAAGCCTATGATAAATGAAACAATACCTACATATTTTGAAAGCAAACAAAAAAGTTTCTAGATTTCCACAATTTTGGTTTTGTGGAAATCTAGAAACTAATTGTTTCCTCTCGAAATCTGTAATTTCTATGAAGTATCAACTAAAACAATATCTCTTAAAACAATACATAAACATATAGCAATAACTTCCATTTGCTACCAAAAAATTCCGAAAGTGAACTAAATATGGTCTTTTATTTACAGTTACCAAGTTTATTCGTATTGGCATCGCAGATAAAAATGATACTCCGCCTTATTTTGAGAAAGCACTTTACGAAGTGGAAGTGCAAGAAAATGAAGACATTGGACATAACATTCTTACGATCACGACCAAAAATCACCAGCAGTGTAAGTGTATGAAAATTGTACATGGTATGCATCTTAAAGAAACTGAAAATTAATTCAAATGTATTTCATTTTGTCACAATAAATTTTAGATAGGTACCTAGATACTATAGTCCTGTTCAGGCTAATATTCAGGCACGTTAGTTCAACTATCAAGAAATAATAGGACTTTTTTTTATAAAATATTTCACTCTATGCTATTTGCGTAAAAAACTCTTTATTTTTTAATACGTACTCATTTTATTTAATTTATCAAAGCATCATACATATAACTTATACTGATTTTTGTTAATCCCTTTTATAGTTGCCCATGTCCAATACGAAATTACGAGTGGCAACATAAACGGAATCTTTGTGGTAAATAACACAACTGGAGCCATTTATATAGCCAAAGCATTGGATTATGAGACAAGAAATAGGGTAAGGTAGCTTTTGATTATTTTAACAAATTCCGTTTTGAATTAATCGACCAGCACATTATATTAGTTAATATTAATTGTGTATAACTGTTTGAAGATGTGAACTTGAATTTTTGAGTGTGTATTATTTCCTTACTTGTGTCGGATGTGATGTTTAAGAATTCAATTTTTTTTTTTTTTTCAATTATTGACTTTTATTTCAGTATGAACTGAAGTTATCAGCGTCCAGTAATTCACAGCACAACTACACAACAGTATTAATTCATGTAAAAGATGTAAACGACAATCCACCTATATTTGAAAAGACAACTTACAGAACACAAATCACAGAAGAGGAAGATCGAAATTTGCCAAAATCCATTTTAAAGGCAAGTAGCTTTAGGCTTTTAGCCAGGTACTAACTATTATAAGAAAGTCTTCAAACCAGTAGGTACCTACGCAAAATGTACGATTTCCTGCTGGAACAAGGAACAATGCTATTTTATTTATGTAAAGCGTTCACTGCTCTTTAATTCTGTCATTACTTTATATATCGGGTATCGAACCAACTTCTTGCTGATGTACTGATTATTTCAATATTTGTTCAGGGCGACATTATTCCCCAATTTTGGTAACTATGCTAATAGGCTTATCGGAAACCAGAACAGAACATTAATGAAGTGTACCTATTGAAATTATCTTTTAATCTTATTTGTATAATTCTAATTTGGAATATTTATTAAAAAACTGTTTCTTTTGACAATTTTTTTTTTTAATTTTCGTTTTTCAACATTTCTTGAGTTGATGATGTTTACAAATAACGTACAAAATAAGAAATTACCTAGTCCTAGTAAACTTACACTTTCATTCACCAACAGGTAAAAGCAACTGATGGAGATAAGGACAGGCCTCAGGATATCATATATTTTCTTACTGGCCAGGGAATTGATCCAGATGATTCAGCCAACAGCAAATTTTCCATCAATAGAAGTATCGGAGAGATTTTTGTACTTAAGGTGAGACATTTTAAAAATTAGAATACAATAATTATGAGCATTAGATCTCAAAAGCAATTAGGTGAGGTAATAATTATACAGGGTGGGGTGTTCCAACAAAACGTGAAAATCTATTTTTTATTAAAGATGGTGAGAAAAAATTACCAAAAAGTTTCAAAATGACGACCTCCACTTCGTTACATAAAATTCTCCATTGAACTGCCCTCGTTGGAATGATGTGTAGTGCCCTTTCGGTTCTTCCTATTCTTGCTTTAGCGGTTATTTCGAGCGCCACCCTCAGGATTATTGTGGTTGAGGGCCCACGTGCACCAGGTAGCTTGTTAGTGGAGATCAGGCGTCGAATCAGATGCTGGAAACTATTCCTTCTAAACCTCCTGTAAATCCTCCAGACAACTCCAAAAGGAAACACATGAAATCAATATTAAGGTCTTGTATTTATTGCAAATAATCTTTGCCAAAAGTAACTGGGACAGCATCACATTAGCTCTTGTCCTATTATACAAATTTTATTGTCAAATATTTGTCAAACTATGAATTAAATGCATTGAAATGAATGACAGTAGAATTAGTCCAGGAGATTATTATGCATTATACAAAGAATAATTCGGAGATATTCAAGAAAGCCCCGGTACTTCTTAAAATCAAAGAGAAGTTGTGTGGCTTTGATTACACAAATAATTAAAAATAAGATAATTAAGTTGGATTACTACCGCGGGGTTGACCGAGAATTACCTAGCCTAGCGCAAATAGTTAAATTAAAATAATTAAATTGGAGTCAGAGGCGCACACATTTTCGGAAAAAATATAGTAACTTCGTTACAGATGTCCGGGGCTTGCTGTACGAAAAAAGTGCCTGTCATCACTCTTCCTACCAATTCCCGAAAAAAAAGTGTTTATTGTTTGTTATCTTTTTTTCTTTAATCTCCAGTATATTTTCTATTAAGCAAACCACAAAATAAAATATCGAAGTATTTCGACCAAAAATAATCTAGAGCCCAAACGGCTTATTTTTGATCAGGGGTGTTTATGCAAAAAAGAAAAACACAATAATGTCCCCTATAAACTCCGTAAGTTTGTCACAAACTTTTTGGAGCACCCTGTTGTTACGTGTCGAATTTTCACGACATATTTTTGCTGCCTTTGGTCTTTTACTACTCTGTCATTGCCTGATTTTGCCTAACACTGAAAAAAGGGAACTACTAGTATACAATCTTTAATATATATTTCACATAACAGTTACAATAATTATTCTCCATGAAGATATCCACAGTTTCTGGCGATCTCTGAAAATAAGATTGATTTGAAATAAGAGAATATCGAGGAGAATATCGTATAAAGCAAAATAATTACCATCTTTTTGAGTTTTCACTATTTTGATCTCTGTTCTGTTTTGTTCTAGGAATCAGGTAAATCAGCATTTGTTTTCCATATTTTTGTAGAGGTTTCCATTGTGCAACTTTGAAAACATCAGGTTTCCAGCCTAAAATAAGATTTAGATGGGATTGGAATCGGAAAATGTAAACAAATATTAGTAGGGTTAGGAAATTGCTTAAATCAGACAATACACTAAAGTCAAATGTGGCACGAAAATTTGAATATTGAGTATTGCATGCGCAATAGGCACTAATACAAACTGTTCAAAAATAAACGAAAAATCCCCTAGAACACGATTCGTGTAACCAGAAATTCTACTGTTGGAGAAATCTTTCTTTTTCTAGAATCACGCAGAAGAGAAGCACGTTAAAGCTTTCTTCTGAGGCATTTTGCCAATTTAAGTGAATATTTGGGAAGTAAATTGAGTCTTAAACGGTGGTTCTTATATAGCACCACAGCAAGTATTTGCTAATTTAAGAAGATTTCAGTACGTAAAAACCCAAATTCTGGAGAATAAGTTTGATTCGTGTCACGTGTTGAGTGTCGAAAAGGCCAATCCACATTGGTAAGTCCCTATTATTCATCATTTTATTTTGCATTCTGATCTCTGTTAGAGTTTTATGTCCTCAAAAACGTAATTGATTGCCGTACTTACCTCAATTCTTGTTGATATCGAGTTTTTATAGTGTGAACTCTCTCTTTTAGGACTTTTTTTTATATTGGGTAACGTTACATCCCTTTTTGCTGTTGCTGTCGTTAGATGCACAAAGGCACCTGATTGCTGAATTGCTGATGCTCAATCCTGAACCTGATAGATTGCTTGTGGAGCTTTTGGGGCCTGTGACTCTCAATCGTCCCCCGCGAGGTTCCTAGTAGTATCATTCCATCAAATAACTAGGTACATAATCAGGTTTGCGTATTGTTGTGCCGTTTTGGGAACCATCCACCCCGTCTGTATTAAGGGTTTCACCATCTCCTTGGTAGCTGGAGCCTTTTACCTGCAACCACTTGTACCTACTCTTCAATATTATAGCCAGCTGAATTACCTCTACCTGTCTTAAACATTACCTTATAATCCTTTAGGTTTAAGTTAAGTTAATTTTACGTTTACTTACGATATTATTTTGATTTCCTGGAACATTCCAAGTAGCCCGAATTAGTGTAAACACATAGGTCTAACTGTACACCAGGTTAAAATGGATCCATTTACGACGGTATTTTTAGTATTTTGGTATTGATTCGAGGGGCGTGAACCGTACTTAATTATCACCCTACACCTATTTGAACTCAATGAATGTAATTAGGAAATTAATTATAACTTTTGATCATCATAATAAACCAGAATGTAAGGTAAGGTTTGGACACTTCAAATACCACCCTTTTAGTTAGAATATTGTAGATTACACATTTAATTTACCTAACTACTTTAACTTAGTAGTAGGTACTTACTAATTTTAGTTTTTATATTGGTTATGTGTTGTAATTATGGCCAATTCTATCACAGTAATTTAAATTTAGTTTACTGATAGATTCTTTATTATTTTCAAAAGCTATTAAATAAACAATTCAAATTTGGTGCTTATCAGCTGTTGGCTGCCATTTAACAATAAATAATTCTTTTGGCCTTCTTTTGGCAAATAAAAATCATGCACCAGAGTGAATTTTAAGCGTTTTCATTTTATTTTATTTCGTGATGCTCATTTAGGTTTATGCAGTGATTCCAATTAGGATTGAGTGTTTCCTGTTTTAAGTTTATAATCGGTAGCTTCGTTTGACTGCAGGGAAGTAAAACAGGTGGCGCCTTTTGAGTTTACCCACACCACTCTCCGCTATTGAGAGTTAGTCGGACCCCCTAAAAACGAAGCTCCATTTGCTCGATTTTGGTTATTGGAGTACCTCAGCCATCTTTTTGTGTATTTATTAATAAATTAGGTTTGCCCCAGTTTGCAACCTAACAAATTGGCGCCCATCGTGGTTAAATAATGCTAATAAATTGGCTTCTTTTAAATTTTGTTGGTTTTTAGGTTTTGCCCTTTTGTTTTTTTTCAGCAGATCTGTGCGGAATATACTCTGGGTATGCCTTAATTTAATTATTATTTTTTTTTTGATTTTTTTTTTTGCAGTTATTGTTCTTGGTAGTGCAAATTATTTCGGGTGGTGAATAATTTTTTATTTTTTTTTCTCAAACTTAATTGATTCGATTTTTGGGTGTTTTTATAATAAAAAAACTTAGGTGGATTTTGTTTGGGATTGCGAACCTTACGATAAAGTTCGTTTTGGGTAGGTACTGGGTTCTACAATAAACAGCCAGCAATGTTTTGGTAGGTATTTTTTTGGTATTGTTTTTCATTTCTTTTTTTTTTTGGTTGGGTCGGGTTTGTCCATTGGACAAGTCACACCAGATTTTTCCATTTCCAATTTTGATTAATATTGTGATTTCGTATTTGTTTTTTTTTTGGTCGAACAATATTTAATCGTGATTGGTCTCTCTGCTGGAAATAACAAATCAGTTTTAGATATATATTTTTATTCAGCTGCATTTTGTTACAATGGACGTTAACTTATTGGGTAATGAAGAACTTAAGTACGAGTTGACAGTTCGAGGTTTACCAATAACAGGTACTTTCTCTCAGAGACTAGCAGTCTTTCGGAATGCTTTGAAGTCGGAACGTGAGGGTTCTGTTCAACCACCTTCTTCTTCACTTTTGAATCAGTTAGCGAATTATGTTTGTGTGGTGCGAAATTCTATTCAGTGGAGCGTGATATTTTGAATTTCAATGATGACAACAGGGACTCTGACTTCAGAAAAATTGGCACACTTCTTGAACACATTAAATTCAGAATAATTCGAATTCTGCCCGAGACTAATGCTGATCTGACTCTGAAGAATAATTTATGGGAACGCTTCAATAATCTATCCCAACAGTTACATTCAAAATACATGGACATTTCTGAACGAATTTCTCCCGAACCAGAGATATCCAACGATTTAATTTCCTTGGATGACGAACAAGCACCGTTGGAGACACATCAAGAGGTTTCTGATCCTCCCATTCACGAACCTATTTCTGGTCGTAGATTGGTTCCAGCTCCTAGGATTTCGAAAGAATCTTGGGACTATTCTAATTTTCTGGACTCTAGATCACGTGGTCAGTCCTATTCAAACGTTCCTTCCGATTTGTCCAGGAATACCTTGCAAGCTCAGAACAATAATTTTGCATCCCAATCACTCCAAGTCGATCATAATTCTCAATCTCAAGCTTCGTTTCGTGCATCACTTCCACCGACACATTCATCGCATTTTGCGCCTACTCCTCGAACAGATAATCCCCATCATTCTCTGATAGACGCTTCCCTCGCAGATTTACCCAGTCATTTAGTGTCCTCGCGGACATCCGTCCCCACATCTACTGGACTTTATGTTGCTCCGATTTCCAACAGACATTCTTGGTTACCTTCCAGTGCGGTACAGTCATCGTTACGCCAGGACAGGGATAACACATTTGTGATCCCCAATCAAAGACATTCTGATGCCATCAGACAAACTAGATATCAAGCAATGCCTTCCGCTGAAGCCAGTGACTCTCGTGTACGATTTGCTGAGCCCGAAAATTTTGCTTCTAGTG